AACACACACTGGCACACAAAAATTCCTCAGAGACTAAGTCTTGAAAGGTTGCGTTGCAGTTTGAGATCGGCGCGCGACGGTCGATTGGAAATTTACGGTCGTTATTATGAATATTTTTCTTTACATAAAAGACTATAAAAATCTGTTTCACGAGACTTAAACGTGGGCAGAGTATCATCAGTTATTATCGAGTCGAGTATCGTCAATAGTGGCGTTATTCTTAGATCCCGATGTAGAAAAAGCTTTCACTCAAAGTGCTCAAAAGAACGTCAGCGGAAAAATGCAGTGTCAACTCTACGCGAATATTTATTAATGATAAAATCTATAAAATTTTGATCAAATTCCACCTACGATTTCATCATGTCACGCAATATAAAACTACAAAAGACAAGAGAGCGAAAAAAAAAAGAGAGAGATGAAAAGTCTCTTTCAAAATGATTTTTATTATCGAGAATTATTATTGCGCATCGTTTTTCACAATTCCCAAGAAATAATTCCCAAAATAATGAATACCTAACAACACCTTGAATAAATTTTTTGCTTCCTTGCAAAAAGAGGCAAAAAATTTAAATATAAATTACCCTTGGATTCCAGAATACATGAAGCGACAAGTAATTTCATAACCGCCCTTATAAAGTGAAAATGGTGTGAATAGAAATACCATCGAAGACACAAGAATTCTTGTAAGCTGTCGAACTAAATTCCTCGAAGTAATGCCTACGAGATTTAATTGAATAGCACCTGTTCGAAGGTATTTTGTAGCGGAGAATCTCTCCCTTTTTCGCGTAAAGAATCTTTGCGCAACGCCAGGCTTTTCTTCCGGACTCAACCATCTAATTAATTTTCACGCCAGTCTTTTACCCTTCTCCTTCTCCCACGCCAGCTCGTCTTCGCAAAGAGAACCTCCTCTCCCTTTATCACTATTTCCCGCGTAAAAGAGACTAGACCTTTGTCACGGTTCTACGAGTGCATCTGACGCGAATATCACCTAGACGCATCTGCGTATCTTCGTTATAGCTTTACCTTCCATCCTTTCTGCACCCTCCGGTTAGCGAATCCTGGTCATAGTCGGGCTCGAAAATGAAATCACGGACGCGAAAAGCGTGAAAGCCCTAGATGGATTTTATATAGTATAGTCTGTATTATCTTTGTCATTGTGTTGTAACGTGATAAAATCGGATACTCTATAGAACGGAGCATTTCTCTACGAAATCAGTGTGAAATAAAGAGAACAGCGGAGATGATGATAACGGATGAGTGGATTTTAAAATTATAGAAACCGCAGAATTGGTTCAAGTAGTACGGTGTAATAGCGAACGTACACGCTATAACTGTTTTCTAACTTCATTAGGAAGTTTGCGCTCTTTAATCGAGCACCTCACCCGCTTAAAGTTGCATGAATAATGCATTTCCAAATTTCTGACAGACAAAATTCTATGTATAATATCAAAAATAATGAAATTTTCTCGACTAATAAATTCTCTCGCGCAAATTATATTTTTATTAAATATTTCATCTTCACACCTACATGTATGTAAAATTATTATACTCATTTTTATATTTATAATTATTTAGATTATTTATTGTACAAGTTTGATAAAAATGTGACAGACATCAGTTCATTTATTCCAATAATAAAATAAATTTATTAAATAAATTTGGTATCAAAATCATTTCAAAATTGATGTAAAATTTTGATCGGCCAATTATAGGGAGGATTAATATCGAGATTTTCGCGACAGAAATGATTATCAGGAATCCAATTCACGAACACGAGCACTTTTAACGATCTCTAAACCCCAAGTGGAAAATAGCAAAAATATAGAACGTGAGCGCGCTTTACGAGAAACTTACAAGAAAGCCTTTGTTCTTATCTCTCGAAAATAACAATAAGAGCGACAATACATGTGGAAAGTTGCTAAGATGTCGTTGGGACTCTAGCCAGCCAGAAATGAAGAAATTAAACGGTACAATAACGCGCGCGAGATACATATTGGTACTGTGCCAATATTTATATTTCCGGCCTGTTTCCTTTCTTTTCCTTCCGTTTCTTTTTTTCGACGAGAAAGAACGGATGATTAAACCGACGTTGAACGATCGAACGCGCAAACTCGTATCGTCACGCTTATATGCTAATCGGATCTAATCGGCCCATCGCGAAATGCACTCCTTCAAGCGCGCGCGTCTCTTGACGGCCAAGTTAACTGTGTCGCTTTTATCGTTACATCGATAGCGTGTAAAATTGCGGCTCGCGTGCCGCTGATCATTGCGAAAAGATTAGCGGAACGCGATGTCTTTACTCGACACGATGAAGAAATGATAAACGTACTCGAGAAGTATACAAAAGCGACTCGTGCGAGATAATCTGTAGAGGAGAAACTAGAAATATACATAAAAGCGCATTACAAATTCGTTCTGGATACTTAATATTTGAGCTATTTGCTTTTCTATGTTACGTAATTTTTTTCTCGTCGTTCTCAAATCTAAAAGAGAGACGGTAGATTTTCGATGTTTTAAAAAATGAATTGTTTAATGATGAATTAAAATTGAGAAGTTATGCGCACGCGCATATCAATATATCTTTAGGACGAAAGGAAAATATTGCAAGATTTTTCGCTAGAATGATAAATTGAATTCGTGAATGATAGATCGTTCTTTCGAGGGAATATACGACGCTGAACATACGTTTTCCTGTTACGAACGACCGATCGCAAATATCGTGACCGAACAGCTGATAAATTACTATAATAAAGAAATCGATGATTCATCGGATTGAATTAAAGCGAACGCATTAAAGGGATATACAAGAAATGTCACAAACTGCCAGGAAACAAAGACCTTTCGAGGAATATGAACAAAAAATGTGTGAAATTGTGAAAACACACGTGAAACGACTCTTGGAACAAACGGATACTTACACACAAAAAGAGAAAAGAGATAGACAGTCGATAAAAATGGAGGATCACGCGTCAATGATCCGTAGAAAATACATCGAAGAATTACATCGAGAAAATCACATCGAGAATCACATCGAACAAATACAGCGAAAAAATGCACGACTTTTGTGCGGTTGAAGTGCAACGGTAGAAACTTGTGATAACAGTGAAAAATATACACGGTCGTAAAAAAAATCCATCAATCTCAAAAGTCTACACGCGCCTAAGAAAAGCACAGAAAAGCAAAGTAAAAATCTCAAAATATTTCAAATATATTTTCAATAATGCTTATGTAATTATTTATGTAACAAATATAATTTAAAAATATTTCATTATCGTATTATATATATATATATATATATATATATATATATATAGTAAAATATATTATATTTAATATAAAATATTATATATATAATACTCTTGTAGATAATTCGTAAACTCTGAATTCTGGTTGCCTTCTTTTTTAGGCATGTGTAGAACTTTCTATCGTCCAACACATATATACGTTACACATACACACACGCACACACATACACACAGATCATGAACAAATCACACAACAACTGCACAGACATATTATTTACAAACGTTAACTTGATTGGCATATAATGCCGATATAACGAGAAAGTCTGATCGAACATTTTTTTCGGTGCCATAACTGTACAAGGATTATTTACAGCTTCGTTGAGGGTGTGAGGGAGGGATGGGAATCGACTTGATAAAGAAAAAAATATAACTCATGTTCAGTGACGTTGTATCAGCGACTACATATGTGCTCTCGATATGTAGATCGGCTCGTGGACTAATTGTCAAAGCAAACTGATTTTTCTTTTTTTTTTATATATATATTTTTTTCCTGTGTCGTCCAGAACAATCGATGTTACCGGTCTAAATACTCAAAGGCGCGAGTTCATCCAATTATCGACAAAAAGCATTCTTTTGAAACGCCAATTTTTTGAACCGAGCACAATCGTCTCGAGTAAGTAATCCGAATATTAAACTAAAATGTATTAAAAGTGTAAAGAAGTCTTTTATACTGTATGAGCGATCTATCTGAAAGAGGCAACGAAAAAGGGATACGTAAAAGAGCTATTAAAATTGTTAAAATGTACACCCCTTATATAAAGAACAAAGAGAGAGCGAGAGAGAGAGAGCAAAAGTGAAAGAACGGGAACAAAATAAATGAATTATGAACAAAATTTAAAACTCGGCCAAAAATGTCCTTCTATATATCTTTCGCTTGTCTATACTTTTGTTTTCGCCAGAAAAGTTTGAACATTCGTTTGCGAGCTCCTCCCTTCCATATATCTCTCTCCTCGCCCTTTCTTGTCGCAGGGACGGTGTATCGTTATATGCACAAGGAAATTAACAATCCACACATGATACACACAAAAACACACACGCGCACACCTACGCAGCCACGTGTGAATTTGCGTCTCCACTGACAGAAAGAGAAACGCAGTTAATACGCACAAAAGCCCCGGTCGGCAGTGTGCAGAGCATCGGGATGCATAATCCACGCCGAAGGATATATATCGCGTATGCATAATTAAAAGCTCCGCTAATCGCATTAGCAGATACGTCAGAACGCGCGCGGATAAGGAAGACGATCATCCACTGTCGCGTTCATCTGCGATCATTGTTAACGCGATTAATCGGAATTGCAATCTCCGTGCCACGACGTCGGACGAGAATGCTCTGGTAGAATTACTCTTTAGCGCTATAGAATATTACAACGAGTGTTATTTACAGACAGGAGAGAAAAATAGAGAGAAAGAAAGAGAGAGATAGACCAATATACAGGAGCACAATACGAAGACAAAGCAACACCACGCTGGGCCAAGAAAAAAGAGAATGAAAAAGAAAAACGTGTAACGAGTGTACTGTCTGTACATCGTGTAAACGTATAAATATTTTATATATATATATATGTATGTGTCTATACAGTGTATATATATTTCATCCCGCATAGACTTGTGTAAGTGGAGTGCGTGTTGCTTGACCATGAACTGTGTATTATTGTATGGCTTGACTTTTTCTTTTTCGTTCATCATATGATACCTTGGCACTTCATGCCCTGGTGGATGACACCATAGAGAAGACTACCGCAGTGGTCACAGAAGGTGGGGCTGTTGTAGGTGTGTTGCTTGAAATGGTGCTTCGTCCGCGTGTCCTGCGTTATTACACCATTACACCGTGCACACACGCGCAGACTCTCTGGTCTGGATGATAATGATGGTGATGCGGAAAAGGGTGGAAGATGTGTAGCCGGTTGGTATAGGGAGGATTCATCGGCTAGAAATCGCTGGATTTCCCGTTTGAGCTAGACGCGATTTTTTGCTCGAGCAAACATTTAAATCAAATCAAAAACCTAAAATGGTATAACGAACAAAAAATTTACGAAATCGGTAATTTATTAAATTTACCGTACATTAATCTGCCCGATAAAATGGAGAACTCCAGTCTAATTGTCTGAAAGATTAATCTTTATCCGTTTCGCGAATCTCTCTGAAAAGATGAAAACGTTTTTTTGAGAAAATTCTTTAGCGGAAATATTTTTTCTATCTTTATTTTGTTTTAACTTTAGTTATAGCTCTTGAATATTATAGATTTTTAATGAGTAATGCAAGACACAATATATTTAAAAATAAACTGAACTCTTTCAAATTTTTATATAATGTATAGATAAATAACTTCATAAACAATATGAATAAAAGCGATATTAGAAAGAAATAATTTATTTACTATCTGTAAATTGTACGTTTTAATTGTAAACGTAACATTCAATTTTTAATTTAAAGAAAATTATGCTCATAATGGCACACAAAATGTCAAAATATATTCATATGTATTTTACAAATTTGTGTTAATTTATAGATGATAAAATAAAATATTATCGGAAAACACATTAATGCGACGATGAATATAATTTTAAAATTTTTTGAAGAGCGATCAAATTAAATCGAATATTTTCAGAAAAGAATAAAAGTTAAGCATCGTTTCAAACTTACACAAGCGTACTTATCGTTACGAGAATATTTAATCCGATTAGAATAAGAAATTTCCTTCGGGATCGAAAGATTAAGTGTCGAAGGAATTTCTTTATTCAACTTTATTGAAATAACCTATAACTTAATTCTAAAGCAGCGTTCTTCAAATTTGAAAACGTAATATTCATCAATTAAATATCTTTCGAAATATCCATCAATCTCTCTCAAATATTGAAAATTTTCCATTGAAAAAAAAAAATTTTTTAACTTAGTTTTTTTTTCGTGAAATAAAATATACTTCACTATCTTGAAAATGTTGTAACGTGTGCCATGTTTAAAGATTTAGGTCCGATTTTTCCAACTTCTTGGTAAGTTTTACTCGACAAGTAGCATATTTTCATCTCTTTTTTAAGATAAGTTCTAAAAAAAAGAGACGAAGATATGCTATCTGTCGGGTAAAAGTTACCAAGAGATGAAACAACCGACCCTTAATGATTAAACCTGTTTCTCTCTCTGACAATCTCTCACAAGTTATTATCGCAAGAACGAGGTCGAAACTGTCGCGCTCGAAATTGAGATTGAAATAAAGACCGACAGTGTTCTTCAAAGTTGCGAAAAGCAAGCTGTGAATCGCGGTGGCGAGTCTCGAATCCAAAACAGGATCAAAACAGCAGAGTGCCGGCCATTGTTCCGGCAACTTTCCGAAACCACTGACAGCTGCAGCTGCTTCTGCTGCGGCTCCTTCCGCGTACAACGTTCGAGAGAAAACCGAACAGCCCCTAGGAAGTTTCGCGGTTCCTGCGCGAGTCCGCGCATTAAGCTTTCCGGTGTTTCCCATCACCTCGGAAGCGACAAGTTCGGCTGGTGCGAAAACTCGATTAATCCGATCCTCGGCAGCTCGTTACATTCGTAATCATTTTCGTAATTACGCGGCTGGTCCGACTATTACAAACATCACCACGTTCTTAGTTAGTCGCCGAAGAACACCGAGAAGCAGTAGTAAACAACGTCGTCAACAGCGATACAGTTACGATGTTTGTACTGTAATCATTTTACGGTAGAGATGTAGCTTCTCTCGTTTAATTATAGAGAAATTAGGACACGATCGCATAATCGTTTGTTTCCGATTTTCCCTCTTTTTTTTTTTTTTTTTTTTTTTAATCAATAAAAATAATAAGCGAGAAAATAAGTTGTAGCATTTCGAAATGATATTTAACTGCTGATAAATGTATTATCGTTTTTATATAATTTCGATATATTATTCTCTCTATTATCAATAATGCGAAAATAGTTTATTCGATAAAGTTTATAAATAGAAAACTGCTTCCTATAGAAGCCTGCTTTTGTAAGCTATATTCTTATTGGACATCGACGATAAGCATATGGATTCTTTCGCTTCATCCGAAAATTAAATTTCTGAACTCTCTACAGTCCCGCAACGACGACTCATGAAAAATTCAAATCTCTCCCTTAAACAGAAAATTCAATTCTGAAAGGTTCAAATATGTGCATCATCGGATATTCGCAAAGTAATATCGTGGGTCGCGAAACGTTGACGCGTCAACGCTGTCCAATGAAGTTCAAGCTTATATATATGTGTAATAAATTATACAAGAATACTACGTAATATGTAGATTTTATGTTTCCGCGTTCGTCAACTGTGCGACTTCCTGCTAGGATGGAAAAGAAAAAAAGAAACTACCTGTGCTCGCTCGTGCGCGATTTTTTTCTCTTTTTGTCGCAGCCCGCGTCCAACAATGAAAAGCCATTATGCGCTTTACGGGGAAATCCACGATCGCCGATATTCGCGCGGATCAATAGGCGTGGAAAGGATTACCTTTGAAGCGCAGAAGCACGTAGGAAAGGTGGGACGAGGAATCAGCGTTCAGGATCAAAGGAAAACAGCGAGGACTCTCGATTAGTTGATCGGAAATTCCCGGAGATAAGTAAAATCTTTTTTCGAAGCGGAAAAACGTTCACAGCTCGAATGTCGAAGTCTCCTTTGTAACATCTCCCTTCAAAATTTCACGTTTGTTCGGCGAGAAATGCAACACCTTGGGATACCATTCAATTTCCTAGTCTCTAGCCTTATGGAGGTCTCGACTTGCGGATATTGTTTTAACAAACAGTTCTCGTTCCTTCTCTAACATTAACATTTCTTATTTTTTTAAACTAATACTCTGAAAGTGGAAAGATAAAATAACCACAGAAATGTTAAATTTTGAATTCGCAAGATTTGGCAATTTTGGAATTGAAAACATATTTTTGATCGTGATGAAGTTTCATTGATTTATCTCAAATCATTGAACGATACAGAAAGGAAGCGACTGTGTTTTTATGCGGAAATTGCTTCGAGCCGGAAACGCTTTGCCTCCCAGGGAAATACATCAGGAGACAATATCCCGATGTATTTGATCGGCCAATCGCTTCGGTGATCGTCGTTCGGATGTGATTACAAGCGTGGTTAAACGAAGCGCAAAAGGACGCGGTGGTGGTTTTAGGCCGATCGGTGGTGAGCGTTGTGCGAGACAAATGTGATAGAAAAACGTACAGCTTTTAGCCCTCAGGTACAGATGTACCTTCCCATTCCCTCTTTTTTACCCCAAGCCAAGGATCTCTTCTTGTTTCATTATCTCTCTATCTCTCGACATTCCGATCTCCTTTAACGCGACTACCGTCAGCTAAGAGATAAAAAGAAAGAATACCGAGTTATCCGGTGTTGTGTCGTGATAAATTTCACTCTCCTTACGAGAAATTTTATACTCTTCGTGTTTCTCTCGATGGTAGAAGAAACAACTAGGAGGCATAAAAAATTCCGCGCTTTAGTGCTTCGTTTTATTCATCTTGACGCTAAAATTCTTATCCAAGAATAACAACTTGTTAGCAAACTACTTTTTCTTTTATTAACAATTGAAGAAATGTTAGGAACTTTATTTAAACGTGCCGACAATAAATGAAATATTACAAAAAGAGAAGAAAATTATATAATTTTTATTTAAAGCTGTAGGAAATCTTCAATTTTAAATATTAATTCAGTTTATTATGTTTACTAATTCATTGTGATTTATTAACTCCATCAATAAAATATTGGAGTCTAAAAGAGATATGTATTGTATATATCACAACAAGATAACTTTATCAAATATATATTCCAAGTAACTTGTCAAATATATCATTACAATTCCGAGGATGGGACTACTCTTCCTCTTCATAATTTTACGGCTCTATTAATCTCCCCTCATTCTCATATTAATAGCTTTAAATAAGAATGCTACAGGTTCGTAAGGGAACAAAGCTCTTTGGTGTTCTTATAAATGATGATGTAAAGACGCGAGGCCGAGTAATTGCTCTTCGTGATTTTATAGCCTAATTAATCTGCTTCTGTCAGGCTAAGTGGAGGCTATCTCCTCTTACGGGCAGATTGACCGAACTATATCACTAACGCGCACTACGTATGCGTTATTATTATCCATTTATACAAGGTGACGGCGCCGCGCGATTTATCGCAGCCTTCGAAAATGACCTCGATATTGATTATACGACGGCGTGCCGTCGCAGCATCCCCAACCCTTTAGCGCCTTGCGCGACGACAGGACAGTGGACGACACGTCTCACACGCGTTTAGCGCCGTCCGTGCGGCAGCCAATTAGCGCACGCTCGGCTGAACGCAACGCTTGTGAAACCACCGTCACGTACCGTACTTATTTCATTCTCTACATTTATGGAATTTAACGCTCTTTTTGCGGCTCAAACCCATGTAATGAACATTTCGCTGTAATGTATACTCGCATCTTTTTCCCTCTTTCGTTTGACTGCGGTTCAAAATTGTTATATAAATAGAATTTAAGCATGTTATTCACTTTATCTACGTTTCTCGTAGTTCGTGAATTTTTAATTAGAAGGTTAATTAAGAGGTTTGTAATGGTCGAAATTAAAAAATAAAAATTTTAAATATGTGTGTGAATTGAATGTTTAGTTTTTTTTTAAATAATTTTTTTTCTTTTTTACATTTTTCGCCAAAAATTATTATATCTTTATATTATAACTTCGTAGAAATTTTATTAAATCCATCTCGCGAGAAGAATTAGTGCTTATATTAATGACAAATTACGGCAGAGATAATTAAATAATCTCGCTTCAGTTGCAATTTTCGTGGCATTCGGAAATGATGATAAACGACTTGATTTTTACGCGTAAATTATAATAAATTTTACAAAGGTATTATCGGGTTGCTATTCGATTCCTGGACCATTTACAAGAAAACTTTGACGTGCCGACATCTCACGCAGAAATATCGTACATCATCATCTATCACAGAGTCCACCAACGAGCTTTAGTGACATCTTTTTATTAAAATGACATATTAATATTTGATATATCGCGGTAGACGTTTCCCTCTTGTTTACGAAACATCCTAAATTTTTTGAGAATCAAAGAGCCGTGATGAGCAATGTGTCTACTCAAAGCACGAGGCTTTAATAGCTAACGTGTCAAACAGTTATTTGACTCTTCTGGCCAGCTTGACCAGCCCTCAAGCTACTCTCGGTGACCTATTTCTGCTATAAAGAGACTTTTGTTATACTTCTGACCCAGCCTCGGAACGTTTGTTAATGCAGGAGCGTAGCATACATCTTGATTAAAATAACTTTCGCAAGAGATAAATTAGCATTGTATCAGAAAATTGTAAATTAGTACATAAAATACGAAAAGCACAAAAGAAGAAAAGTAAAAGAAATTTAGATTGAAAAATTTTCTTGTTTTAAATTATTAAAGAAGAAACTAAAAAACTTTTTCTATTCAAATTTGTATTCAATTTTCTAAAACATTTTTAAAGCATGTGAATGTTAAAATTATGAAAATTATAAAATTGATTAAGTAAAACTCTTTCTAGTATATGCATACACAAAATTATAGCACATTTAACAAATTACTTATCATTATTAAATTTTCTAGCGCATTGATCAAATATCAAAAATCAAATATAAGACTAAGCTTTTAGCCTCGCGTACGTGATTAATTTATAAGATCTCTGAAAACTCGTAAAACTTTATTCTCATCGAAAGCTTCCAAGAGAATCCTTGGCTGAGGATAAAAAGAAGAAGAGACAAAAATAGTCTGCGCAGTAAGGAAGAAAGAGGAGAGGAAAGGGAGAGAAAGAGAGAGAGAGAGAGAAAGAAGCCATATTCGGGGCATTATATGTAATATCGATACTCACGTCCGAGTCGGCTCCTTTGTCAGCTCCAGGACACGTGAAGGTCACGTATTCGTGACATCGCTTGTGAACGACGAAACTACATACTGAAACACAAGCAAAACGTGCCCCAAGTTCCTCCTCATGGTCACATCTTGGGCAAGTAGTAGAGCCGATGAGATCAGTCTGACCCTCTTACCTTGGCACTGATATCCCTGTTTCCCGAAGCCCCTGCAACAATAAACGGGATAACTCATCAGCGGATACATTGAATGAGCGAAAGAATCAATCGCGTGTCAGGGGCATCTTTTTGTAATATTGCTCACATTTATGAAATCAAAATATGTAAGAATCTTGTAGGTCGCAATCTAACAAAAGAAAAAAAAACAATTACTTCTCGTAGTTTTTATGCTCGAAACGATTCGCCTCAAATAGGCTCCATTGATATCACGAAAACAATTTTGAGAAATGTGAGATTAAAATTGTAAAACTAAATAAATACATTAATATACATATATCAAATATACAGACAATTTAAAAGTTATTAAAATCAATTGTCATAGGTAAATGGTAACATCTTCGAGAAAGGAAATTAATTGGAGATGTATTGTATAATAGATTAAAATTAATAAATAATTGTGTGATTATTATTATAATAGTTTTGGGAATTTTTACTAGTAAAAATATGAAATATAGAATAAATATTATATATTCAGAATTGTATGATGGAATTTGGCATAGTTGCAAAGCACAATGTAATTTTCGTTTCGCGATTTATGGACCGAGGAGAAGTTTGCATGATTCGTCGTCGACTGCCAAAATAATTTCAGAATCATCCAAGTGCCTCGAATTAAGTACAGATGGTAATACGTAATGCGACACTTTTAGTGCCGCGCACGCAATAATGAGAATATGAGAGAAGTGTACTAATCGGTCATAGATATTAGTATTCTGCGACAATTTTGAAACTGCATTCGCAGAATCCAAGAAGAAATTAATGAGATCGTTTTAGGTTCAAAAGAAAATTAGATTATATATATTATTAATAACAAAATACGACAAAATATAAAATTAGTTGTAACTGTAATTGCAAGAATTGCATCTGAAAAATATTTAAAGATAATAAAATCTTGCGACATTAAAGAAACAAATGCAAAACTTATAAATTAAGTTTAAAAAGAAATTATTTTTTGATAATAAAAAAACGGAGTTATATAATTTATGTATTTTGTATTTGCTATCTTTCTTCCTCATTGGTATCCTTTGATTACTTTAATATTTAATTGAATCGTTGATGTATTAATAGCCCGGCGGATAAATAATACATTTCTGCAGCTAATACCAGACTGTAGTGTTCACTAGCGCAAGCACCTCTTCGCGTAAATAGTAAATATAGTTATTAAGTAAATATTACGTAAATATAGTTAGGCTCTTTTAAAATTGAATAACGTATTCATCGCGCATATAAGCGCGGATATAAAGCAGAAATAAGCGGCACGGAGAAAGATTCGTGAGAGTTTACGACTTACGAACGTTAATTTTCACGATCTGACCGATTTCTCTAATCTGTGTCGATGCAGGATGAAATCTCTATAGAAGACGACATCCACCATTATCTCTCATGAAACTTCGATGAGAGGATTCTCAAAATAGCGATTTAATCGTTCCAAACTCTGCCCTTCTCCATCTCTCTGTTTCTAGAACTACCTTCAGCTTTCATAGCTTTCCAATGTTGTATATAACGTCGACGGAAAAAAAGACTTTCCTCTCGCTTGAAAATCGCCAGTCACGAGAATTCAAACTTTCTGCGAACCTCGAAAACAGTTACTCTTCATCGCGTGGGAAGCGGAATTTTAATGGCCACTTGGCGTCTCCACTAATTCCTCGTGATTACTTCGACGTTCATTCGAAATTCCATTTTCCTCGACGATCTGCCGCGACTTTGACGTATATAGTTGCGGAGATTTTAACCTATCGATGAGAGTATACGATGAAACGACAAGTCATCTTCGGGTCTTTCGGATGTAATTGATCATTAAAAAAAGATTAAAGTAAAAAAATAAAAGCACGATGTATTTTTTTTTTTTTTTTGAAATGTCTTTGGAAAAGATTTTTGTGCCAAGGCCATAGTAATGCGGCAAAAAATGTTATACGTAATTTTAAAAAATTATTTATAATGTACATAGAGAAATTTACGCTTTTTGAAAATTGATTATCAGACTTTGTAATTTTGAATAGTTTTTCTCATACCTTTAATTTTTCCTATTTAATCTATTTTTTAATAAAACTTCAAAATAATCTATATATGTAATATATAAAAGCATTATTATACAATTTAACTAAAGCATTTAAGTTGTTGCAAAATTTTCGGTCTACTAATATCACATTCACTGTACCTATAAACATTTCACTGTAATCGGAATGTAATTTTAGCTGATGTAATTTTAGCCGATGTTTACCAAATTGTAAATAATCTACGACTTATCGAGTCACGCAATATCTACTTCACATATACATTGTGTACTAGACATATTTTCTGTAGCAGCGACCTGCGATATACGTTATACAATGTGCGTAAATATTTGCGATGTCAAGTAGATGCACTGAAAGAGGTTCGCGTTCAATCTACCGCTTGAAAAACTATATACAGATCGATTATCTCGCAGCAATGTATTACAATGTCGAGAATATTATTTAAAAATTTACTGAACAATGCAATTAATTTTTAAGTGTCTTAATTTACCAAAATACTTATTATTTTATTATTATGTACACATCTTTTATCGCAAAATAAAAAAAGCACACACGCATATATATATATATATATATCTACATATATGTACATCTGCCTCCAATATTAATTTTTCTTGTCGTCATGTTACAACGATTATTGTGTAATAAAAGAAAATTGCTAATCAGAGAGTCAGTTAATCTGCAAATGATTCGTGAAGCACAAAATTAAAACAGCCGCGTATATGTATATTACGGGGAGAAATTTATATTTCATTCGCAATCGTGCACACCCTATGAATTACAAATCATCACGAGTTCGTTATTTACCTGATTCTGCGTCTGCGAATATACGAATTTGTTCCATGTACATACGAACGCAATTAAAGTTCGGTAGAACATCGCCCGTACGTTCAACCAAAAACTCTTAATTACGCGGGCGAGCTGTAAATTCGAAATGTTTGGTCAAGCAAACGACTGGACGCGATGAATGCGATAAATCAAAACGGTTATACGATATCCCGGAAATCTGTGGAAAGCCATATGACGTCGATCAAATTCATTTCTTTTTTCGCGCAAGTGTCTTTCATATATATAATCTTTATTATTTCCCTCTTTTTCTCTCTCTTTTTCTGCATACAACTCTTTCTATACGGAATTAAATTGCGGATTAAACTTTTATGGAGATTTCTCCGTGTATATACGTATTAGCCTGCAAAGCATAAATGTCACTTCTGATTTCATATTGTGATTGCGTAGCCTCAGGTCTCTCGTATAACGTCTATCCATGTTTTGTCTCATTTATCTCAATCATAAATTCCCTGTCACATTGCAGTATATATATACACATTGTCTCGCTTACTATCCTTATCTCAGATATACATTAAACACGAGCCACGCACGTATACGACACCTGCTTCATCCCATCTCTTATACGCGTTTAATTTTGACGAATTATATATGGTGTTACACGCGACAATTTAACTGCGCAATAACAGATCTGTGAAGTGGGATCCCAAAATGCAAATTTTTATCAAATCTATATGGCATTTGATTGTCCACAATTTGTTCATATTTGTCCACTTTGCAAAAAAAAAAACAATTAAAATAAAAAGGAATAAATTTTATCATGAGCACCTCTAGATGCAATTATTAAAAAATTATATATATATATATATATATATATGTATTTTGATTGCCTATCATTTATCCACATTTGACCATAAATAATCGTCTTTTATCCCCTTGCAAATAAAAATTTTAAAAAAATTAAAAAGTCAACAATCAATTTCATTATATAAGCTAAATGTGATTATTTAAAAATTATAAATAAAGGGTGCATCTAGGAATGCTCGTGATAAAATTTATTCCAATTTTTTATTTTCTTTGCATGGTGGATAAAAACGATTATCTATGGGTAAATGTGGACAATCGAATGCCATATCAATTTTGTAAAAATTCGCATTTCGGGGTGCCAATTTCACAGACCTCGCAATAACGCCGAAATTATGGCGCACGATAGATCTTTCAAGAAAAGAGTGCTTTCGAGAAAAATGGAATGCTCCTTTGTCGGATAAAAATGCATTTTAATATCGGTCGTTGTTTACGGGTAAGAGGACTCTATGCTGGACCGCCAATTAAATCAGCTTCAACGAACAAATCAATATTTCAAGGTCTCACATCGGCAAGGATCGCTGCAAGTGCATTTCGATGGAATACATAGTCGTTGCTGTTCTCTCAATTAAGTTCCACTTCGACAAATTGCATAAATATCGTCAATTGAAAGAAGAATTATACCTCACAAACATGTAATCGCATAAATATCGTCAATAGAGAGAAGATTGATACTTCATAAACATGTAATCGCGCGCGCATCTTCATTTTACGTCAAGTTTCCTCCAAAGGAAGTATAAATTTTTAACCACGGATATTGGTAGTCTCGAAACCGAACCCATATGCTCATATTATTCGCAATAAAAATAAACGTGTAATATATTGGTACATCCGCGCGCCGCGAAAAAATTTATATTTTATTCGACGTAAAGCTCAAAGGATCTAAAAGGGGATACTTTATAGGACTTAATCATGAATTATTTTCAATCCCCGATTGATAAATAGTTAATTACATACTCATGTCAATTACGTATATTCATATTCATTAAATTCCCTAATTTTGACTAAAATCTCTGATGCTGGAAATAAATTAATTATATGACATATATATAAAATAAAATTAATTTCAAATTTATTATGTGTCTCAAAAGTAGATATTACGTATCGCACTTATACATATATATGTATATTATATAATTATTATATAATTATATAATCCCTATATTTAGCAAAATCATTGATCAAACAATCATATTTATACTGAAACTTAAACCCATAAACTTGATCGATCATCTAATTGTTTTGTGTCGTTGATGACAATCACGCCAGCAGAGGCAGTTATGATACGACAACGATGTTGTACCAAAAATAAACGAGATCTCACGATG